TTTTCATAATTGAAATTAGCATTTTCTTTTTCTTTTAAGACAAACACAAGCGCGTGCTCACACACACACACTGTAATAAAAATAAAATGCAAGTTTATCTATGCATAATTACCCCCCCCCCCCCCCCCTTCCTTTTAGACTGACATTTTCTTCATTTTTTGTCTGTAGCCATAATTCACTGATATAGCAGATTAAGGCTTTCTAAAATTGCAGTTGCTTAAATTAATCATTAGTTAAAATAAAGACAATGCATTTTGCACTAAAAGAACATACTTTTAGCCACCAAAAATCCCAAACTGTGTTGACATTTTTTTTTTAATAAAAAAAATTTAAAAAATCCGATTTAAATTTTAAAAAATCTGATTTAAATTTAAAAAATCGATTTTTTAAATTTTTATCAAAAAAATCACCAACCCTGACTGTCTTGCCAAATAAAATAGTAATATATAATATATACCCAACTGCTCCAATGAATTTAAACATTATTACAGTAGACAGCAAATTAAACTGTCAAAATGGCTTTGTTTGATTAGGATAGCATCATTCATGGGTCAAGTTATTGTGCTTATGCAGAGATTTGGGCATGTCCAAGTTTAAACGTAGAAAAAAGCTCGATTTTCTATCCTTAAAACATTATGCCCCCTCTCGTAGATCTATAGAAACTACACAAAGACTGACTTGTATTAATTTGTTGTAAAGTCTAGATTGATCTGCCTTGTTATAAATGTGCTTGACTGAAAATGTTAAATGTTCTCCATTTTTTGAAATTGCGAGTCCCAGTCATTTTGCATTTTTACTCTTTTTAAAAAGCTATGTGTAAAACATACTTTTCTTCATAAAAGTTCACATTTTTAGAGGTTTTAGTGATGTTTGTACTTTGTGAGAATAAAGAAAAATAACCAAAATGGATGGTTGTTTTTTTACTCGGGAATGCAACATAATCAACTACAACAGTGAGAGGGTGAGTTGTTTTTTTTTCAAGTATGCTTCAGTTTTGCCGTCAGTGAACATTTTCGGCTCCACACCAACCACCCACTCTCCTCTCTCTCCCTCTCATAAACTCACACACACTCACAGTCACACACACACACACACACACACACACATACACACACTCTCTCACACACAGACACACACATGCACATGCTTGAGAGATTTGAAATCCTTTCTTTCCCACTACTCCAGTCCCAAAAAACAAACAAATAAAAAAAATTAAAATCCTCGAAGAAATAATTAAAATGAGAGCTTTTTTATTTCCAGCATCAATTATCCATGCCTTCTGTTTCTCTCTTCCCCCTCCCCCTGCAATTGTCTAATAAAATGAAGAAATATTACTATGTTACTTCCCTTGCTGATGTCATTTTTGGCTTATACTTATACATACTTGAGCTAAGAATTTCAAAATCTAGGGTGTGAAGGGGGTAGATTATACTATACTGTACTGGCACCTCTAGTGGGTTGCTGATGGCAACACTTCTTCTAGGTGCCTCAAGTTACTGTTCAGACATCAACGCAGGGAAAAGGTCAAAATATCTTCCTTATTTAATGTAACTCCACCGTACTTGTTTGTAGATGGTTGAAACTTGAAATTGATTGTTATACTTTATTTTACTGCACAACAGCACAATTACAAGAGGATGCTTTTTAAAATTAAATGATATTACAAATAATAATTTTCTTAATGCGGTCAAAAGTCATGATCATGATGTTGATTACTAAGGAGAAAGAAAACTGCCAACCAACTTGTTTTCATTTTCATTTTAACACTAATGAAGGGTACAATTCTGATCCTATACTCTTGTGAATTTCTAGGCATGATATTATAAATCTGTTTAATCCTATTTGTTCGCCTGTGGTCGTTTTGTACCCCAGAGGTTGTATTCTCACATTTTAGATTACTTCTAGTGCGAAAATCTCTTTGAAACTTTCAGTATTTCTCAAAAAATCATTTTGACAGACTGCTATGCAAAGTGTATGTTTGGGATTAAGAGTAGATTTCCTCTCTGGAAAGTGGGCACACAGAGTTCCCCATGTCGTATGGATACGATAATAAAACAAGACGTAGGGAGAGGGTTAAATACAAATTTAGTCCTTTGACGCTACTATTTTGACAGGCGCTGGACGAAGAAGGAAGGTGGTCCAAAGACCAGCAGTGAGGCATGGGTGGGTCAGGGGGCTTAGTTTTCAGTTGAAATAATACAGAAATCATAGTTTTGGTTTTGAGTTGGGCGAGATATTTTTTATCTGTCCTACAAACAATCATACAGCATTGATACATAGAAAATACCTTCTTTATAGTGGATCATTTGTAATTTCTCTCAATAATTATGGCACCGGTGTCTGTCAATAATGTCATGTATTATAGTACAGTCGTCTCCATACGTTCTATAAGAACCCAGTCCACCTAAAAGCCTGCTTTTACCTTGTAGCGATTTTTTTTCTCCTGAGATAAATTACATGCTTTTGTAAGAACCCACTCTTAAAATACACATCTGCCTAAGAGCCTGGTTTGAGCTGAGGGCAGTTGAGTTGACATTTCTACGTTCATCATGCTTTGTGCTTGCAACTTTTTTAGGCATGCGTTTGAGCTTTTCCTGTTGGGTCAATCTCTATATTATTATTTATGTTTTTCCATTGATTTAACCTTTTGTTCCTCTCACTCGTGGTCAAAGCATCTGATTGCCTTTTTAAAGCTGGCACCTTTACAGGTCGTTCTTTCGTTTCGCTGATGCAGCAGCACAGCTGGTGCCATTACACTATCAAGACACTGTGAATTAACAGAAAATCCAATTTTTCCCCAGGGGTGGGGGAAGGGTAGGATATGTTTAAGTTGTTGGTGTTTCCTCCATGCACATTTTCACTCTCTAATGTGTATGTAAACTGGTTATAATGTAGTTAGCTCTACCAGATCGCATGATTTGGTCGGCGTACTTCTGGTTGTTTTCTGACCTAGGATGTGGTTGTGGGTAAGATGAGGCTTTATTATAACACTTTTTTCCCTGAGAGAGAGAGAGAGAGAGAGAGAGAGAGAGAG